AAATCTGCATGTAATCTGCAGCCACACAGTCTTTTTAGGAACCTTTTTTTCCTTTCCTCCACTACACTTCCTAGTACAATGTACTAGAAAGGGTTTAGTGGATTCTCAGCAAGACCCTCGTGGTTTCCAGTAAAAGAAAAACATGGGTTTGAATGAGGGAAACAACACCTGTCCCAAACTGTTGTCCTCCAGCTACAGTGTCAGAGGAAACCACTATGGTGGACACAGATATCAGGCTGCTTGGGGTGGCCATGTAGAGGGTGGTAAGTGCAGAACAGGACTCACAAAGAAGTTCCACATGCTAAGTGTGGGACCTTGTGACACAACCTCTACATCTTGGTTCTATGAGTTTAGCTTTTCAGATTTATACATAAGGGAATCATGTAGTGTTTTAATCTTTCTTTCTTTGGTTTATTTCATGTAGCCTAATGTCTTTCAGGCTAATTTGTGTTGTTCGCAAATGGAAAAATATTGTTCTTTTTAAATATTGAATAACTTTCTGGAGATTCCTCTGTGCATGAGTGTGTGTGTGTGTGTGTGTGTGTGTGTGTGTGTGTGTGTGTGTGTGTTTCATCAATCACATTGCTTTTCTCCATTCATCCATTTAAATGGTTTCCATGTCTTGTCTGTTGGAAAGAATTCTGCAAAGGACCTGGGAGTGCAGCCATCCCTTGAGAGAGTGTTTTTATTTCCTTTGTTTGTATACTCATAAATGGGATTGCCACTGCTATTGGAAGAAATTGGGTCCATGTTCCACGGAGTCGAAGAAAGAACACCTCAAATGCCAAGATAAGCAACCAAGCAGACATTTATTAAAGAGAAGGTTAAGGTTCAGAAATGTAAGTTCCCAACTCAGTATGGGAAGGGCAAATGTGCCACCAGCATATCTCCATAGCCCCTCTTATAAAGGCACATGAGGGGAAGTTGACTGACTCCCTGTAACCTGTCCTTGAGATTTTAATTGTTGTATGTGTATGCTCAGGCTGAATAGCAAAGTTGTCTCTTTTGTAAAAATGGAGTCTTTTGTTCCTTTTGGAAAATAGATGCTGTTTGTCATGCTGGAACACATCAAATGATGGAGCATTACTCAAACAGTGGTCCTGATATCTGCTCTCTTATTGACCCTCGCCATTTTCCTACTCAGACTGCCTGTTTCCACTACCGCACACCTACTAGAAGTTCTCCTTTTAATTTTATGTGAACTTCCACAACATTTCCCATAATTACTACATCAATTTACATTACTACAAACCATATCTAATGATTTCCTTTTCTTCACATCTTTAACAGCACTACTTGTCTTTTGATGTTTAGTTAATAGCTTTCCTAACAGATTTGAGATGAGCAATACTTTTTTAAAAAAGAAATCATAGGTAGTGCACTATAAATTCCCACCTTGCTAAAGAGTCACCAAAGCTTAGAAACTTGAAGAAAGAAGGGAAGTCTTATTCTAGGGACCTCTCTGCTACTCACTGTGAAAAGGAGAGAACAAATGCAGATAATTCCTTCAATGTCACAGGACCAAAAGCATCTGAGGCAGGACTGGAACACCCACTCTGTTATTGTAAGATATGAGGTCACCCCAAAATCTCATATGTGGGACAATGCAAGGGAGTTTAGAAGTGAAATGGTTGAGTGATGTGAGCCCTCACCTAATTAAGTGTGTTAATCTCCTGATAGGGATTACCTGGGTGGTGATTGTAGAAAGGTAGTGTGTGGCTGGAGGAGGGGGGTCATTCAGAGGATGCCTGGGGATTTATATATTGTCTGTGGTGGAATGAGTGCATGTGCCCTCCCCCCCCCCCTTTCTCTCTCTCTCTCAGCTTCCTGGTATCCATGTCCTGAGCCACTTTCCTCTATCATACTCTTCTGTCATGATGTTCTGCCATGCTTTGGACCCAGAGCAATAAAACTGGCTGGCTGTGAACTGAGATATCAGAAACTGAGCCCCAGATATATGTTTCCTCCTCTAAAATTGTCTTGTCAGTTCTTTTGGTCACAACAAGGAAAAAGCTGATAAAACAACCACTATTTGTATTTGTAACCTGGTATTTTAAAATTGTTCCTTTTTGTATATGCTACATAATATACACAAAGTATTTCTATTTTTGCATATTGAAATTATAAAAGCAAAAATGTCATGATTTGCTAATAATATTATTACAAACTAGAAAACTTACATATAAATAAGCATAATACCAAAATTCATCACATTTTTAATAGGCTGTCACCACAAAAAATAATCAGTAGAATTTCTGTATCACAGCAATAAATTAGAGTGAGAAGTATATAGCAAAATTTTACCATACACAGACCAATAAGTAGTGTAAGATACCTAGAAATGAGTCTATCAATACTCTATTCAGGGAACTTTTAAGGGAAAATGGTAGAGCTTTCCACAGAAAGTTCAACTGAAATATTAATAAGCAACAAGGGCTGTAAACCCATGCAAGAAATTGTCACTGTGTGACATACTTGGGTCAGAAACATCTAGACCTTTCCCTTTGAGATGAGTACTCAGACATGGAGGTCTATCACTTCACTTTTATTAAATATTGCACCAGAAGTCTCAACCAGGATATTAAGAATACAAAATTAATAAAAGTTAGGAATGTAAAGTAGATATAAAACTGCCATTACTTATAGTTAACAAGAATATATAAACAGAAAAATTAAAGAATCAATGAATAAAATAAAAAATATAAGATAATTCATCAAGACTTTTGAGTAATATGCACACATACCCTTGCAGAATCTATTGCAATTATCTATACCACTAACAAATGAAATTTCAGAATATTAAATTTAAAATTTCTACAAACCTATTACCCTTGATATTCACAGCTGAGCCCTCCATCAATGTGATGTCTCCCTGTTCTGTTTCCTTTCATCTGGATTAATTTTACAACAGTAGACATGACTGAATAGACAGAGATAACCCTTTCCCTTTATGACTTTTTTATTTAAAAATACAATATCCTTATATGATTGTTCATCAAAGATATTGTTAATTTTTTTATTTAAAAATACAATATCCTTATATGATTGTTCATCAAAGATATTGTTAATTTTAATTATTGAAAAGATGGTAATTTGATGGAAACTCTAGTTAAAGGTATATCTGTGTCTATAAAAGAGGGTAGAAGTGGATATGAAGTTTAGCTCTATTCTTTTAGACACAGATATACCTTTAACTAGAGTTTCCATCAAATTACCATCTTTTCAATAATTAAAATTAACAATATCTTTTTTTTGGTCAGGCCTGGCTCTCCATGGAACTCCATTTCCATGCTGAAGATTCATGGTGCCGACGAACTTGTAGAGACCCAATTGCAGGAGAGTTAGGAGATGAGTGAGTTTGCCTCAAGTTAAACCAAAGAAGCTGTTCCTGTGAGTAAAGGGAGGGACTGTTGCTAAAGCTCCTTTTGCTTCAGGGAACTCCCACCTTCTCTCCCTGAACAGTATAGTTTTGTCCATCATGGTCCACTTTGAGAAAAAGGAAAATGAACTCAGGGAAGTCTCTAGAACTTTGGCCATTTGCATGATCCCTGCCCTATATATGCCTTGTCCAGTCACCTGCCATCTGCCACTGTGGACCTCTGAACTGCTCTGATGCTGGATGCCCTTAACTGTCCAGGCCCCACCTGATAGAGAACAAAGACTTTGGGTTACTTCCCCCAACTTCACGCCCTTTCAACAGGAAGCAGTTTGGAGATGTTGTCACCAATTTTTCCACAGAAATGGAATGTAGAAATTGACAGTGGGGAATGTTACAGTGGTCCACTTTATGCTTTGAATATAACCCTTGTTGCTCTGCCACTGCAATTTATTTTTAAAATGGACATGTTTCTTTCTCTTCCTCTCTCCCTGTTCCTCCTTAATTTCTCCCCCTCCCTAATCTCAGAGGAAACAGGATTACCATTCTTCCCTGTAGTAGGCAGAGTTATCTATCCCTGAGTACACACCATCATAGGATCAAGTAATTTAGACATTGAGGATGGCACCAGATGATCTCAGAAATGACTATCTCCCCAAATTAACAGGAGAATTACAACTCCAGACAGAGGACACATGAAATATAGCTTTTGAGTCATCTCTTTAAAAGCCCCCTGTTCCTATAGATGGGCAGAATCATAGCCTGTGGGACAGGAATGTTTCTCCTTTGCTAGCAAAGCAATAAGCCTTCTTTTTCCTTTAAAAAAATAATTCTAGGGCTGGGGATGTGGCTCAAGTGGTAACACGCTCGCTTGGCATGCGTGGTGTGCTGGGTTCAATCCTCAGCACCACATAAAAATAAAATAAAGATGTTGTGTCCACAGAAAACTGAAAAGTAAATATTAAAAAATTCTCTCTCTCTCTTCTCTCTTTCTCACTATCTTTAAAAAAAATAATTCCACTGAGTAGATCTTTGCAACTCGATTTTTTGAAGTTATGTTCTCCAACATGTGTTAGTAGATGCAAAAGTTAGCATATTTACAACAATCACTTCTTTCCTATCTTCTAACACATACCAGCAGTACCATGGTTAGTTATGGAGAGGGAAATATTTATTTGTTCCAAAAAATAATAATTATGACTCCCTGCATTAGATCTTTAAGAAGCATAAATATTTCATTCTATTATTTTTCATAATCCTGAGTAATGAATCAGTCATTCCCAGATATTGTCTGCAGATCTCTGTTGGATAAAGACTTAATGCAACTTGCCTTCCAGAATGCTTTCCTAAATGTCACCTCTAACTGATCAACCTTAAGTGACCTTGTGTTCCTAGCTATCAGATTGAATGTGCCTCCAACAGGCTGTAGGAGAGCTGAGAGAATGATGCTGTCAGCCAGAATCCTTAGCCAAGGACAAGAGACTGCAGTTTGGGAGATTGGTCTTGGAGGTACAGATGGGGGCAGAGCATAACTGTTGAGGAGTACATTGGGTGTTGAGAAGTATATAGGGTGGTGAGTTAGGCTTTGGGCTCATGGTTTCCCTTTGTTTAGAGTACAGTGAAGTCAGAGGCAGGAAATGGGATGGGGCTGATCTCTATCTGTGTACCAGAGGCAGACATAGCAACATTTTGAGTATAGATAAAGGCAGGTCTGAACCACTGTGCTAGTCCAGTAGGCGCAGTAATACACAGCAGAGTCACTGTCACCAAGATTTTGTATTATTAATTGATAACTCCCATCTGTTATTTTAGCATCATATTTCGTCGAACTGATTCCTGAGTCCACCACAACCCTGTAATTGTAATTATTATAGTAGAGGAGGCGTCGTGGGAACTGCCCTTCCTTGAATTGATACCAGTGGATGTAGGTACTTGATAAATCACAAGTGATTACTACGTTTGACCCAGGTGAACTCGTGACTGATATCATTCTCCTTTCCAAACTGGAAGATGTTTGACTGCCTGGAATGGTAACAACAATAAAAATTAATGGCTAAAAGGTAATGGGATTCATTGTTATGGCCTCCTTGAGGGGAAAACCACATCCCATGGGCATCTTTGCCACATACTTACCAGGAGGCAGGATGGCTAGAAGTAGGGCTAGAGCCCACAGCATGCCTTCTTCCCTGGGTCACAGAGCAAGAGGACCAGATGATAAAAGGAGAAGAAATGTCTCCCAACACTGAAAGCCTGCTCAAAATGGAAGTGATCCCTGCAGCACTGACTTAGAGCTGATCCTCCTGACTGTGTCAGAGGCAGGGAGAAGTAACTGAGGAGGTTCCTGAGAAGAAAACCCAGCTGTTAACCCAGAAGCGGGGGGGTGGGGGGGGGTGCTGGGAGGAGCCCCTGCCACTCTCCTTCTGCCCACTTCTCTAGCGCCCCCCTGTGGCTGCTGAGGGCAGGCCCTCTGCAGAGGAGGAGAAACCAGGAAACTGGAGGACTCAGAGCTGAAGAAGGTTGAACACATACAGGTGGTGGGAGGCAGAGCCCTGGATGCAAATGCCTGACTCCTTGTAGAAACAGGTCTCTCTGAAGTTTTGAGTTTTCAGGTTTCTGTTGCTACCATGATCTTGTCCCGAGATGAAACTTCTTTATTATGGCCCAAACCACCTTCACTAACATTTGTAAGTTGACCTTTGGACAACCACCAACTGCAAATCTGATAAGCCCTGGATCTACTTTATTAAAAGCATCTGGGGATATTGGCTGCACATGACTCTACTGCAACACAAATGGATGTGAAGGAGGTGGGGGTCAGGGGCGGACAAGAAACTACCACAGGAGGAGCTCTGGAAGCAGAAGGCCTAGGTCACAGGTAAAAATCAGTAGAATGGAGCTCATCCTTGAAGGAGGGATACAATGTTTGTTCTCTCAAAGGCTGACAGTAAGCACAGAAATATAGAATGAGTGTATTATTGGAATGTGTGAAAGGTTTCTACTACCCCTGAGACTGGGCAGATTGAGTCCAGGGCTTGAAGACCCACTCTGCACTATGGCCGGGCAGAAGAGGGTTGGAACATCATTTTTTTTTCTCTCACATTAGCCTACCCCCCTCTTCTGAGTAACTCTGAACACCTAGTTATGTGATATTAATGTCATATGTAAAACCTCATTAAAGTTGAATCTGATATCATGTTTTCTCTGAAGAAGGACTACTTTGATTCTGTATATGATATTCAATCATGCAGTGATCTCAGGGCTTCTGTGTCTCTGTGCTCCAGAAGTACCTTCCTGTTGCCCCTATTTACAGGTACCTATGCTAATGGCTTCAAGGACATGGGTTTTCCTGCTTTGTCTATATTAAGAAAATAAAACCAAAAGGTACAAAAATCCTTAAATACCTGAGACAAGTCAGACACTTGGTAGAATGTTAAGTATTATCTTGGGCCTTCAGGAATCCTTTGCTCTTTCCTTCAGAACAGTGTCAGGAAGGGTGGGGATGTGACTCAGGGATAGCTTACACAGATAGTATGCTCAAGCGCTGCATTGGGACCCAGCACCACAAAAGCAAAAAGAAAGAAATCAAAACAGTATCAGGGGAGTGAAGAGAAGGTGTGGTGTCTGAAGAATCCTAAGCATGAGATTCCCAACCACCTCCCGCAGAGGATAACACACTTTGCAATACCCAACACAGAGAGCCCAGCATACCACGGCAGAGAGAGCAGGTCCCTTCCCTGCCTAACTGTGTAAAGGTGAATACTTCCTTCCATTAGTTGTGGCTTTTTAAAGTGACAAATTTGGTTGTGTGGTTTAACTGCCCTCAACTTCTCTGCTAACACCACATCCAGCCCTGCACTGCCCTAACCAATAGGGGCCTGTATGACTTTGAGCCTTTTATACAAATCAACCACATTTGACAGAGCACAGAAACAAAAGAAGCCTGAGAAAATAACACACCACACCAGCACTATCCCCCAACTCTGTGTCCCCTACCACCAGCACTCTCCCTATCTGCACTGCTCAAATTCAAGGCTCCCCAGATGCACTGGGGGTAGGAAGGGACTCAGGTTTGAAACCACATGAGAAGCTGCTTAATGCCCAGGCAATGATGTCAGCCCCTCAAAGCTCTGAGTGATCTAAAAAATCCTGACTTTGTGTCTGCTTTCCCAGGATAGGGAGAGTTCCACCTCTCTGAACAGAGCGACTGAATATGTCTGAAAGAGCTGTGGTCAGTGCAGGATCAGGATATTTAGATATCTAAAGTAAATTTAATATTTTTTGAGTCTGGTTACTCTTATTTTATTTCCAAGTATGAACCTTGGCTTCCAAACCAACACGTTTCACAAAATCTTAAGCTGATTATAGTTTGTTGTTGTTGTTGTTGTTGTTGTGCTGGGAATTGAACTCAGGGCCTTGTGCATACAAGGCAAGCACTCTACCAACTGAACTATGTGTCCAGCCCCTTAAGCTAATTATAAACAAACTTCCCAGGATTAAATACATTGTTGTTTTAACTCTAATAACAACAACTAAAAATTACTTTAAAATGAGTCATTAAAGAAAAATAGCTTTTTAATTCAAAAAAAAAATCATTTACATTTTTTCACCCACCTACCATTCACTGAACATTTCCTTTTATCTTTGCCTACAGAAATATCAGTATTATTATACTCAGTTAAAACAGATCAAAGGCATGAATTATATACTGCAAAAAGTAAAGTGTATAAACACAGGAAAAGATGTGTTATCTTTATTCATAATAGCAAAAAAGTGATTTTTGAGTGGCAAGTTAATTTTTCTAATCTGTAAACTATAGGAATATAAATACACCTTCCTGGAAGAGCTCTTGAGGATCAGGGATTGCCTGGTGCATGGTAGAAGCTGCAGCAGGTTCCATCCATCCTCTCTGCAGAGAGGTAAGAGCAGAGATCTTCCTTGGTGCTTTGGCGTGTATGTGAGTACGTACTCTTTTTAGAGTTCATCACGTTACAATGCTGTTGAGGACTTTCCTGCACCAAGAAATATTAAAATATCTAATCCAGACAGCTCCAAGGAATAGGGCATCTAAGTTCATTTTATAGGAGGAAATTATGGCAGAGAGTTTTTAAGTATCTGACTTCACACAAATGCTAAATCTCAGACCCAAGAGTGATATTTAGGCCCTCTATCTCTCTGGCTACAGAGTCCAAGTGTTCAGTCTCCTGGTTCTGCTGCCTCTCCATGGTTGGTGCCCCTCTCCTGGGGCTATTATGAGGATCCAGAAACATAGTACTTGTAAAAAGCTGTTACAGAACTGAGCACATACAGTGTGAGTCACATTAGATGTTTTCCTATTTTCATTGTTCTCAAATCAAGTAAACCTGAATCTATGAACCTTCAGAGCAGTATTGTGGGTGTTTCCATTTGGCTGTGGCTTCTCTTGGAGCCAGTCCCCCAGGGAAATCCCCATAACCACCATCATCGCAAGGGCAGAATTGGACATGTGGTGTTGGACTCTTGTTAACAACCTAGGCTTGAAGTCATGGCTAAGTCATCCTCTGTTTCTCACCTTGGACTTTCCATTCATTTTCATCAAAATTAAAATATGCATGTACAAAAGTAGACATTTGATATTTAAAAATTTATTGTATCTGTTGTGAAAAGAAAAGTACAGAATAAAGTAGCAAAGAGAGCTGCTTTAGAGTGTTTAGAATGGAAGACCATCTTAAAGATGGGCTCTGCTTAAAGGGCACTAAGGGCTATGACTAGAAGAGGCACTCTGTCCCCAACAAGGTTGCCATGATTTGGGATGTCTGGAGAAGTTGATGGAGAATATGGAGACAGAGGCACTAGGGGTTACAATAGGTTGCTCTTTGTTATTACAGCATGAAGTTTCTGAGTTCATGGATGAATTTGAAATCTTCTGCAATGAGGACAGAATAATACACACAAGAAATTAATGAGTCCATGCTCAGCAAGCAAGCCCAGCCAGGTCCTCAGCAGACACTTTCCGGGACAATAAACAAAAAACACAATATTATCCTGTTGTGCTGCTGTCTGTTAGGAGCTCTTCAGATTGCTGCAGACAGCTGTTCTTCTTAACAGATGGAGGGTGACAATGGCCAAGTAGACCACACTCTTGAGAAGCAGGAGGAGGAAGGTCCAGTAGGCAGAGGTGTTTGTGAGCTGCAGCCTCAGTGTATCTAAGAGAAGTCATACAATTAATTTTGCCTGTTCTTTCACATGAAAAAAACAAAAATACCTCTTGAGGTAGGGTGCCACAGATGTTTGTTTTTGGTGACCTACACTGAAGTGACACTACCCCCACCAAACCCCAAAGGCTAACATCTACCACTTCTACCCAAAACACCAACAGCAAGGTTCAGCTTGCAAGTCAAGTCCGTTAACAGCCTCTGCCATACTCAACTTAGAACCTTCCCAATGCCAAAAAGTAAGGTTCATTTTTAATATTTGAGGTCAATAGGGGTCAAATGCATGTGTGATAACTAGGTTTTAGATTTTCTTCACCTCCAATATGTCTCTAAGTAAAAATAGTTGATCATATTCATTAACTACTAACCAAATGCCAAGCAGTATTCTGAGAGCTTTGCATGTAAAGTTTTAGTCTTTAAAAAAACCTCTGAGAGAAAGAAAAAAATAGCTTCATTCCCATCTACAAACTAATGATCTGAGAGTATGGATATAAGTAATTTTCCTGATGTTATGCTTTTATTAAGTGATAGTCCCTGATTTTGACCCCAACAACATGACTTTTAAAGAAGACATTCTTATCTACTCTGTGATTCCACATTTCCAAAGGCAAAAAACTACCTAGACATCAAAAGTTTAATCCTAAGTATAAATCTGAGTTTCTGCTTTCGAAGCATATGAGACATTGCAGGTTATGCATGGATGTAATAAGACTATTAGAGGGACTAATCAGTGGAGTTTTGTGGAATTCACCATTGTGCAACGTGGGAGATTTTGGAAAAAGAGTACACTATGAAAAATAAAAAGAAAGTTTTTGTGCAAAATTTCTGAAAATATTAGGTTGTTGGGGCACACTCATCTTTCTTTTCTGAATGTCTCTTGTTGATACTCTAATATTTGGGGGATAATGACACATGATATCCTTTGAAGTTTTACAAGAAATATATGACATCGTGTAACAATTAAAGATACTGACAGTGGGCCACAGTAGTTAATCAATAAGCCACAAGGACAAGTCTCTTCCTGTGGAAAATTCCACATACATGTTCCATCTTCATAGAATCAGACCTCAAGAATCGTTGACCCTGAGAGTACAAAGAGATCTCAAGAAATGTGTTCACATCTCTGGGCCCTTGGTCAGGTGTGGGTTCCAGCCTCTCCTTGCCTGTGTGCCAGCTAAGGTCCATTCCAAGGGATACTGGGAACAGAGATAAGGTGAGCAGGGCTGGAGCCAATGCCTTCAGCCACCTTCTGTGTGCATATGAAGGGAGAAAGGGGCCATAAACTCGTACTTATTTTCAGTTTGATAAAGATAAATTTTGCTACACATTCACATTCAATGTAAGTGAGTCTGGCATAGTTATTCTCTATTGGCAGATAAGCAAAGTATTACAAAGCAGAAGTCCCTCACCCAGGTGGATACAGCTGATGGTTGTGAGAACAAGGGGAACAGTCGGGGTCTGTGGTACTCTGAGGCCCATGCACTTCCCACCCCCACCATGTGTCCGTCCTGCCTCAGGATCAAGGCTTTGGAATTTCTTGCTCTGAGACTCTATCTTAGAGGAAGAATAGAAATCTTCATTTGAAGGCATGAGTTGAAACTCAGGGTCTGGCAGTATGGCATGTGCAAATTACTTAATTAATTTTAGCTGATCATTTTCATCTGTAAAATTGGAAGAACTATCATACCACTTGATAGGAATATTATGAGGAGGCACACAGAACACAGTCCAAGAACTTCTACACAAAAAGCATTAAGTGCCACTTTACTTTATTAACACCAATCTAAAACTTTATTTAAAAAAAAACTAGAAATAACATGAACCCTTAAAAAAACTAGAAATAACTTGATATCACGTTTTTCCAAATCATTTGAAATAATAAAAATCTTTTTGTTGAAATAGTTCAGAGCGTGTTACTGTAACTTTCATTTAAATCATTTCCTCCCCAAATCACTAGTTGACTGTGATAATGTATTGTCTAGAAATGATGAATTAATTTAATATATCACTCAATCTATTCTATAACATCCAATCATCTGTTTTTTTTCTACCTAAAACCAGGGAAGTACAAAAGGGAAAAATGCTAAAGCATGACATGATAAAAAAAATACACTAAAACTTACTGATTTCATCTTTAGAGCAAGCTTCAGTCCTGGTGACACCTGGCAGAAATGAGAGCAAGTACTGGTCAATTACTCATATCCAATATTTGACAGTGGGAGCATAAGTGTTTGTATAGATAGATATAGGTTTATGCATAAATCATAAATATGTATAATCAGTTCCATGGAGAGACAGGAAGACATTAAAAATCTGAGCCCCACAATTATAGAAATAACTGGTCTCAGGCTGTAATTAAATAGATATCATTCATATATAATTTTTCTAGTCTTGAAAAAGTAGAAGTTCATGCAAGATATTTTTTTCTCTTTTTTACCACAAATGTAATATAATGTTCAAGATAACCTACAATAGAAAGAAGCCATATTATTCCAAATCATGCATATCTTAGGACAACTGTGCAGACCTCACTTATTGCAAAAACTAAGGGTCCCAGAGGATGAAGTCTTACTTGGAAAATCTGGACCTTGCATGGCAAAGTTCTTTGCATGTTCTGCTCTATGTTCCTTTCACTGATTTAAAAGGGCTGTTAGCCACAGGGAATAGTCTAAGAATGATTCATTTCCATGACCACTTTGAGGCATTTGGATAGCCGTTTAACACGCAGGACTATTCTTACTTTCCAAAGTCATCAATTGTGGAAACTCCTTTTAGCATTATCATATACTAAATTGCTAGATGCTTTAGAGTATGTTGTTTGTAGTTTTGTTTTATTTCATTTTTGGTTTTGTTTGCAGTGCTGTAGATGGAACCAGGGCCTCTCACATCCTTGGCAAGGGATCCATCATCGGGTTATATGTTGGCCTTGTTGTTTCCTACAAACCATTTAACAATTCTTAAAAAAAATAAAATCATGTGATCTTAATATTTTGCATGAAAAAAAAAAAAAACAAAGGCTGAGAAAGCTTTGGAAAAATTTCTCTCTTTTTTTTTTTTTTCCCAAAGACTAAGTCACTCTAATTAAATGGTAAAATAACAGGGCATGTGCTACCATTAAATGTAATGATATTTAAGAAGAATTTATATAATTTTACATTGATATATCATAAAAAATGTAATAACTCTTTTTCAAACAAGATTTCTAAAGCTGGGTAATGTGGCAGGCACCTGTAGTCACATCTACAGAGACTGAGTGAGGAAGGTGACAAGTTCAAGACAAGCCTGGGAAATAGTGAGGCCCAATCTCGAATATAAGAAAAATAAAAGTTTTCAAGGAAAAAGCATTAACATTTATAAAGTTCATATTTATATTTAAACATACATACCTTTATTTATAGCAGGAAAGAGAATCTCTTGATCAACTCCACCTTTATTATTCTCGTGTTTGACGATACACCTGTGCTCTTTATCCATTGACTCTCCAGTCACAGTTAGCCAGCTCATCTTCATGTATGTGTCATCAGTCTTCACAGTGTTTCCCTGCTGGTCTTCCAGAATCCCATCACCATCCTTTTCTTTCCAAAATACCTTAATAACATCAGGGAAAAAGTTCTCAAGAAGACAAAGATGGGTCCCAGCCTCATGGAAATTTATTTCAGCAACCGAAGGAAGAAAAATTGTGGGCTTGGGGGAAATGTCTACATCAGAGCTTTTATCTGTGGAGAAAATGGAATATAAATAAAAAGAATTACTAGAGAAACAGAAACATTACATAGTTTGGAAAAACCTAGTGCATAGTAATAGGAAGAAGAGTTGCCATTGAATTAGTGCCCAAGCTGGTCTTTCATTCCCACCTAGGTTGTGAAGTATTTACTATTGTCCTTATTTACAGATATGGAGAGAGTTTCAAGAGATTAAGTAACTTCCCAAAATAAGAGTTATGAAATGGCAGAACCTGGAGGCAAATCTGGCCTTCCTCCTTTCTTCTCATGCTAAGAAGGGAATGACATTTAACTGTTCCTCACCAAGCTACCAACACTCATGAAACCACTTACTTTTTTTTGATTTCTTGGAGTGGTGCATGTTTTCATGGCAGATGACAGGGAGGGAAAGGAGACCAGGCTGCTGTAATGATCTGTCTGCAGATGAGTCTGTGTTACTTCTAAAGTGCTTCCCTTGCCCATCCTTTATCACTTGTGCTCATTGGCCAAGTAGCTCACATTCTCATGATATTTGGTTCTGTGCAACCTAGACTTCATTTAGCTGATTCTAGAATGCATCCTATTTATGTTATTTCTTATAAGAGTAAACATCAGGATGTAGATTTTCTTTTTTCTTCTTCTTCTTTTTCCCTCTTTTTGTGAACAATATGCAATAATTAGTTTTAATGAGTTTATACTTTCAATCTATCAAGTTGATCTCTTAGTTTCAAAGACAGATCCCATGTCCAGTTCTGAAGTCCCTGGAGTTCTAGTTGATGTCTAACTAGCTACATAACATTTCACTTTCACATCTGAACTACTTCAAGTTTTGGGTTAGGCAGTATTTAAAGTTGCATCTCCAAATTATTCATACTGTCTTGAATTTAGAAGCAAAATATCAACATTGTTGTACCTTTTATTAAACAATTTACTGCTTATTTTCAGAAATGATCTTGTGCTTAATCTTATCAACTGATGTGCTTATCTAATTTTGTTTTGCTTTAAAAAAGATTCCAAGATGTTCATTTTATTTTGGGTTTTCATTTGAAGTTCAGTGTGACTAGGAAGATACCAAGAATATTTTTCATATGTTCTTTAATATAAATTGGGAGAGTCTATACATATCTGCATATCCATATGTGCCTCTCAGTATTTTTCCCCAAATTCACATTTAATCTACATGCTATTTAACTGTTTTGAAGCTCCATTATTCTATTTATCTTAATCTGCTGAATAAGGCATGTAATGTAATTGGTATAATGTAAAATTTGTGATTCTAGAGTTTCTTGCAAATATAATGTCAAAATATCAACCAAAGCATCATGTGTTTACAATGGTATATCATGTGTGTCTGGAATGTGAATTTGTTATATAATTATTTTTAACCTATTGACTAAAATGATAGATGTTGGCTTTCTAATTGATTTTCAATTGAAACTCAAATGCTTTGCTCTTTGGGCTAGTTGAAGTGAGCATAATAATTCAAGGCCATTTCTTTCCTTTTCCTTCCTTTCTATTTCTTTTTTATTTTCAGTTCTGGAGGCTGAACCCAGGGGCACTTAATCACTGAGCCATAACCACAGCCATCCCCCCCCCCTTCTTTTTATATTTTATTTTGAGTCAGGGTTACTAAGTAGCTCAGGTCCTCACTAAGTTACTAGGACTGGCTTTAAACTCATGATCCCCAGCCTCAGCCTCCCTAGCCACTGGGATCACTCCATACCACGCCCAGATCCCCAATACTATTATTTATTTATTTATTTATTTGAGGAGTACCAGGGATTGAACTCAGGGGCACTCAACCACTGAGCCATATCCCAGCCCTGTTTTGTATTTATTTAGAGACAGGATCTCTCTGAGTTGCTTAGTGCCTTGCTTTTGCTGAGGCTGTCTTTGAACTATTGATCCTCCTACCTCAGCCTCCCAAGCCATTGGGATTACAGGTATGTGACATCACACCCAATCTTACCTTTTATTTTAAGACAGGGTCTCAGTAGGTTGCCCAGACTGGCTCATAACTTGGAAAAATTCTGTGTCAGCCTCTAGAATTATTGGGGTTACAAGCCTGCATGGCCATAGCCAACAGGCAAATTCTATTTTTCTTCTTTTTCCAGGGCCCAGGACCAAATCCAGGGCCTTGATCAAGATAGGCAAGGGCTCTGCTGCTGACCTAAATCCCTAACCCCAGGCAATTTCTTAAGAACAATTTGGTTTCTCATTTTAGATGAAAAAGACTAAAGCTCCTGACTTTTACACAAAAGTCAGCTATAATGTCTATGTTTTTGAACATGCTGTTAATATAATTGGGTTATAATATACTTATTTTAATTTGGTTCATCTTGCTTTTAAGTGCACATAGTAAGATACTATATATTTCTCCACCACATGCTTTATTTTTAATTCAAAAAGCATAGTGTAGAAGATAAGATTGATTTTAAAATTCTATATTATAGTTACATAATTTGGGTCACTAGTCCATATCAACAAATCTAATTTTCATTTTAAGAATACATTTGTCCATTGGAATACATCTGATTCATTATAATACAGAAATTGAAACTCAAATGTTAAACTTGAAAAATTTCTGCACAGCACCCCACAATGTATTGCCTTTTTTCTCTGGCTAAGCTTGTTTTGTTTTTTTGAGGATAAAATGAATCTCAAACTTCTGTGACATCCTCAATGTAACAGTTAACTGGGCATTAAATAGAATATTTGATTGTAATGAAAAGTACCTTTATTGTGCTTTGAAAAACATGGTCCTTTAAAACTTCCCTTATAAATGTACTTATTAAGAGCATTTCTCATGGTCAATTTTTGTTCAAGAAGCATAAAATGGCAGCAATTCTATTTTATTTAAATGACGAATAAAAGAATTACCATATATTTAATTATTTTAAAAAATGACAAAACCTCTTCAGTTCAATTATTTATATTAATTTGTACAATCATGCAATGTGAGTTAAATTGCCAACTTGTTTGTGTTTGAAGATTCAGCAAGATGAATTATGTATAAATTTATCAAATGTCATATGCATTTTCTATTGAAAGTAAGATTTTGAATCTTTATTTGAGAATTTAAGTATTCTCTACTTTCTGTTTTTCCTTCATCAAATCTGGAGGTATGGTTATTTTATATTTAAATATGTATTTCAGATTTTTTATAAGTTTCAGACTGTATTTAATTGATTTTATATAGACCATTTTCTGTATGAATTTATTTTCTATATGAATCTTATTTGTCAGGAAAAAGCTTTGTATGAATGTTTCCTAACAAATAAGGGTAAAAACCTTTTTTATTGACAATAAAATACAGAATAAATAAATGTTGATGATACAGTTATTATTAAGATAAAATTATTATTAAGATAAAAATATTAAAATTCAAAGCATGTAAAACAACAACGAAAATTTTAAGAAACATTTTACTGTAATTTTTCTTGCCAAGTGATGAAAAAAAAGTCTGCTAAAGATAAACAAGGGCTGGGGATGTGGCTCAAGCGGTAGCGTGCTCGCCTGGCACGTTTGCAGCGCTGGGTTCGATCCTCAGCACCACATACAAATGAAGATGTTGTGTCTGCCGAAAACTAGAAAATAAATATTTAAAAAATTCTCTCTCTCTCTCTCTCTCTCTCTCTCTCTCTCTCTCTCTCTCTCTTTAAAAAAAAAAGATAAACAAGTACCTCCAGATTCAATTTTATTGTGAATAAATGTTAAGATAATCTTTTATAGGAACAGTTAGAAATATACCTGAATCCTTTTAAGAATGTCTGCTCTATAGTAAATGTTTTTTACTAAAAACAACTTTCCATCATAGAAAAGGTTCTCTCTTTCCATTTGAATCAGAAAAATTATGGACTGAACAATATGCAAACAACTCTATTCACATTATCTCTTTCAATTCCCATGTAATCTTGCTGGGTTCATACTGTTATCCCATTTTATGGTTTAGGACACTGAAACCAAAGGATGTGTCTGCATATCCACTAAATAGTGATGAATCTGGAGCAGGTGAAGCTCCGAGTCTGCCTTGGAGCAAAGAGTTGACTCCCTTGTCTGACTCTTAGTCATGAGTAAAGGCAATGTCTCCACTCTATTGAGCCCATCGAAGGCTAATCTATAACAGTGGACATGGTCTCAGGGTCAAGTACTTGAATGATATTATTGCCAACACTGTATGTAAGTGTTTCATAGAAGTCTACATATACACAGAGTCAAACCTTATCAAAATATTTGCGCAATGTGTTCCCTGTTCTCTAGTATAAAACTTTCTTTTGAAATCTCTTGTAAGGTTACTACTGAAACTCTATCTCATTCTCTCTTTTTCTAAACATTCTTAGTCCTATTCCAGTTTAATCATTCCTTTCCTATCCTCTATTACCTTGGAAATAACATGTCCTCCAATACATACCTGTGACAATGAGTTTTGTTCCACCACCGAAAATTTTCCAACCAGCATCCCACAGTGTTTTCAACCATTTCAAAAATGTTAAACGAGTTTAGTGTCCTTCAAATTCTAGGGTCAACATGATGTCCTGGAATTCCTAAGAAACCAGAGACCAGGATTCTGGTCTTGGTTCATATTGCTCATAACAAGTTCTGTGACTGAGCAAAGTGACTACCTTCAAGGCTTTTGGTTATTATTATTTTATTATTATTATTATTATTTAGTACCAGGGATTGAACCTCCAGGTAGTTACCCACTGAGCCACAACCCAGTCCTTTTTTGTATTTTATTTAGAGACAGGATCTTGCTGAGTTGCTAAGTGCCTTGCTAATCTGCTGAGGCTGGCTTTGAACTCACTATCCTCCTGCCTCAGCCTTCTGAGTTGCTGGGATTACAGGCAAGTGCCACAGTGCCCAGAAAGATGTTTGGTTATTTATCCATTAACAATGATGAGAGTGTAAAGCAATTCAACATTGCTACCAGTGCTGAAGTGAGACCAAAATGAAACAAGACATAAAAAAGCAATTGGATTAAAAATACCATAGAAGCAGAGAAGGGTTTATCATTATCAGTTTCATTGTTATCAGTAGCTATGACTGTGCTCCAAGATGGTATTGTAATTTCAAAGGACCAAGACTTGCCCTTTTCAATAAGAATCCAGCATTTGGGGTTGCAATTAGATTTAAGGCAATAAAGGAAAGGTCATTCCTCTGTCCTCAGTTTGAAGTCTACTTTGCTCCAATATACCTGGAATTGCCAAAGCCATCATCATAGGAATTGTGTATTTCTCACTCATCTCTTTTATCTTCCCCATTAAGACTATGGAAGGGAGCCCTGGCTCACGCTAGCAGGTGCAGTGAGTAAGTAAAAACTCTTCCCTTGTATCGTCCAAAATATTGGCTTTCTTCTCAACTAGCAGCACAACACATTGTGAATTCCCAGTTTTCCCCAGAATGTTCAGCTTCAAACAACCTTCTTTCAGTACATGCCAAAGTATGACTTGTAACTGCTGGTTGGGCCCTTAAAGGAAGAAGATGACCAGAGAAATGCCAGGCAGCCTGGTTCTCAAAGCCATCTTAGGTCACTATGTGATACCTGCCTGACCCATCTGCTAAGGGACCCCTTCTGTGCATAACATTAGATGTCATGAGCCCCACAGCATTGAAATAGTGATGGTATATAATGGGATTCTTCCCTCTATTTCTTAGAATAATTGTTAATAATTGTTGAGTCAAGCACTGTGGCACATGTCTATAATACCAGAGACATGGAAAGCTGAGGCAGGAGGATCACAAGTTCAAGGCCAGCCTTAGCAACTTAGCAAGTCCCTAAGCAATTTAGAACCTGTTTTCAAGCAAAAAAATTAAAAAGGGTTGAGGATGTAGCTCAGTGTTAAAGCGCCTCTGAGTTCAACCCCTAGTATCCAGAAAAAGAAAAAAAAAAGGACCGTTGATTTTTCATATCTCTTCTAAAGGATTGGTGCATCGATGTCCTTTCTAATTCTAAAATGAAAAATATTGTATTTGAAAATATTGTGTGTGATTCTTTTTCCATTTACAAAATAGTATGTGTTTATTATATTTTTCTTCTGCCTTTCTGCATAGTTTTACAGCTCCATCCCTTGGGGATCCACAACAATATAAATTCCTTGTTCATATCTCCCATGCAAGCTCAGGGAAGATACTCCCTCTTAGGAATTGACTGTCCACTGTGATTAATGACCACACAGGAGCAATTCCAAGAATTTTGTGCCAGAATCTGTCCTGAAACCAATATTTTGTTAGTATTTATACGAATACATAAAAATCAGCTCAACTGACACCGGAAAGAGACAAAGCTCTAATAAAATCAGATTTTATTAGAGTGGTATCAGGATTTTAAGAACTCAGTCCACTCTCCCTGGGCAGCTTGGGCTATACCTGTTGTCTTATATGACATTTGTTGTAAAGTCTGGTTTTATCATTTCTCAGGATTTGCCAGAAGCTTTGAATCTCCTCCTTTAAAGGAGTCCATCAGTTCTTGGTCTGGAGTACAACTTAGATTTAATTAATATTTCTTTAATTTTCAAAGAGAAACAATAATAGTAATGTCATTGGAACATTTAAAATGCGTATTTGCTGTGATTTATATTTGTGACTCATATGAATGGAAGGATGGGTATCTGGATTAATTATAATTTAATGTCTTTTTGAAATCTAATTCCCATTGATAGTAGACTTGATTTGTTCCAGAATATGAATACTTACTGATGATCTCTTAAGCTATTCACAGTAGAAAGATGGCACCTTTTGATTTGAACATTCCCTTGCAGTTTCTGGAGCATTGAATATTAACCCTGTGCTGCTCATCAGAAGACCCTAACTGGTGGGCATTTTTGTAGCTATCCTGTCATGAGTGACCAGGCAGCTCTGAGTCATGCAATTGAGGAAGGAAAGTCAGTACAGCTGCAATAGCTCGTACCAGCTTCTGTATTTCTGGCAAATATAATGCAGAAATAAAATTGAATGAAATGCTATAAGAACAGCTTGCCATTCTGTACAAGGAACCTGAGAATAATATCTTGAAGCTTTAGTGAATGCCTATGCAATAGGATGTCCTAGAGCCCTGATTTTTACCACAGTTACTAATCTTATAACTAGGAAAACAAATGACCATAAGCCTCAGTGTCTTCATCTATGAAATAAGAATAACAGAATCTCTTGTCCTGGGCTGTTAAGCAAGGAGGGAAGTCCTGAAACTCTTTAATGTTATGGTACTGGGCCATTTAATCAAAGTCTTCCACCAGATACAATACAGATTGGATATTCTTCATATAAAATGCTTGGAACCAGAAATGTCAGAGATTTTTGGATTTCAGAGTTTTAGATTAGGGATGCTCAACTTGTATGTAAAACCATGAAGAGTCTTTCCCTACACCTTGGACTGAAATGGTTTGTGGAACTTGCAAATTCCGGTTTTTCTCCAGGCAATGCAACCGAACTCATTGCTCCATAAACTGTGACTATTCTTAGCCTACCTTCTAAAGGATTCGAGAAATGAGAAGATGGAATAATTTATACTCCATAGTAATGTTCTAAAATAATTACATATATTTTTACTGTCTTTAGTCATAAGATTAAAATTAAGAATTTAAATTTTGCAGATTAGTTAGAGATAGCTGAACCATTATTTATCTCATAATATATAGAAGAAGCAATTAGTCAAAATCCATTTTAAAGACTCACTTCAAAAACCTTATACAAAAAAAAGTATCTTGAGGCAACAATATTTACACTAATAGTCTACAGACATGGTTCCCCAAATTTTAATTTCTAGCCCTAGGCTATAATTTCTGTGTTTGTGCATTCTAAATGTACACATTCAATATGCTTTCTAACAGGGAAGGGAAGAAATCATGTACAAAGTAATTTTGTTTCAATATCCAGAATCCCAAAACTATGAAATTGCTTTTCCTAACCTGAGGCCAAGAAATTGGTAGAGTCAGGAAAAGTTTATTGCATTTTTTTTCTTCTACAAAGCCTGTATCTATTTTTCATTGCTAGAGTAAAAACAGGAAAAAGGTTACTTACCAGAGGGAGAAACTACGAGCTTTGTACCTCCTCCAAATATCTTGATCCAACCTTCATTATATATCACATTGCTCACAGCTTCTACAAAAATCTCAGCCTTCTCCTATGCTTCATGACATGCCCAAGAGTTTAACATCTTTGTCCTGGAAGTTTGGTCTTCTGAGTTTCTTTCAACTCCTTGACTATAGGTTTTGTGCCGTGTGATATTTTGTAAGTTTCCTCTTACACAGACCTTGTAAACTATTTCCATTGAAGCAGGAATCTTTGGAATGCACCAAAGAAATTGTCAATGGTAAGAACAGGAAAAAAAGAGAGATGGGCCAACTGGTCCTATTTTTCTAAGTTAACAGGAATAGTATTCTGAGAATTGAGTCCTTTATTTTTAAATTTCTAGGTGTTCGGTTGTATTAAAACTGCTCAGAGATACCATCAAAGGAAAGGGACTTCCGTTCTTACAGACACTGAGGCATCTGTGCCAGCCATTGGGAACACATTTCTCAAAGGAGGAAGCTCTTTAGTAACTGAAAATGCAAATGTGAGAACTGTGATCAGGTCTCCACTTTCGGTAAAGCCACATTTACTGTGTGGAATCACATTCACTATAGGAGCAGTGCCAGGTGAGGAAATAAGTTCTGTGATGAGTTATTATTTTTCCTAGAATAAGAGAATAAAACTGTAGAATTCTATTCCCCATGAAATTAGAGATTTCTTACTTAAACTACACTAGAAATTCCAGTTCTCTGATATGTTGAAAGAAGAAGTCTCTTTGGCAGCACTTTTGTAATCTTATGTCTTTTTATCTCAGAGTGGGAATAAAGAAATTGCCAGAATCAGCCAATTCCTCATCCCACTGCAGATGAACAGTTTAGCTGCAAGAACCAAGAACAGGCTGTGATGGCCTCCATGTTCACTCCAGGCCCAATCCAACCTGGCCTAAGTTCTATGAGCACATATGCCATCTGCCAACAAGGGTGAGGGATGAATGTGGTCATGGAGGAAAACTGTCCATTGACAGCCACTTACAGACACCAACCCAATTGGTGAGAACAGGAGCCTAGATGAAAATTGTGTCTGAAAGTGTTTTTAAATTTCAATTGAAGCGGTAGCACGCTCGCCTGGTGTGCGTGCGGCCCAGGTTCGATCCTCAGCACCACATACAAACAAAGATGTTGTGTCCGCCGGAAAAAAAAAAATTAAAATTCTTTGGGCTGGGGATGTGGCTCAAGCGGTAGCGCACTCGCCTGACATGTGTGCGGCCCGGGTTCAATCCTCAGCACCACATACAAACAAAGATGTTGTGTCTGCCGCAAACTAAAAAATAAATATTAAAAAAAAATTTCAAAAAAAAAAAGAAAGGCTTGACCCCGGGAGAAACCCTCAAAAAACAAATTTCAATTGATTGGTTGATTTACTATATCGCTTTCTAAATTCTA